GCATTTGTTTCTTACTTAGTTTAGTAAAACCCTTTGAAATTATTAGCTTTTTCAAGTGCTTCCATAATGATTAATAATATGGTGTAGGGCTCATTATTTACTTCTCAAGGTCTCTAAAAAGTTTAACTGAACTTATTAAAGTACAAAGTAACGTAATGCGTTATACATTTTTCTATAAGGCCTCGGGAAAAATTTGCAGTTCATAGAAAATGTAAGTGATGATTTACTCATTAGCATTACATTAGGGAGCGTGGAATTGATTTAGCCTACAAAAAAAAAGATTCATAATGCAGTAAAAAGAGGGAACAATACATTAAGAAAGTAAAGATAAGAAAATAAATGAAAATTATAGCGAGAAAAGAGGCTCCTGTGGTGAGTGGGAGAAAAACGCACTAAGGAAAGGCAAGCAATTAACCAGAAGAGTTCACTGAACAGCAAATAAAGACAGTATGTTCGTTTTATCTTTCTGTTTGTTTGCTATATAGAAATACAATACATTCCCATGTTTACACTCTAAATCAGAAAGATCTATTTTAGCCCTAAAAATAGGGCCGTTTCGGTGAGTAAAATACAGTCCTATTTTGAGTCTAATTTGGCTCCCTTAAATCAGGGCCAATACAGTCCAATTAGCTAGGACTGATTTGGTCCCAGGGCTGAAATGGGCCCTACCGTGGGCTGGAATAACCTTTTGATTGAGGTTTTTTGACCTAAATTGTGCCCAAATCGCTCCAGGAGGGGCTGAATTGACACTTTGGGGCTGAAACAGATCTTTTTAATTTTCAGTGTATAGCAGTTTTCATTCCGATGGCCACAGAATACCGAGTCAGTGTATGGCCACAGAATGCCAAGTGTTGTGGTACACCTATTTCTTTGCTTTCATCATAAAATTTCTTTCCGTTTTCGCAAAATTACACCTTCTTTTATTTTCGTTTCGTCTCTCTTCCATCGTATGTTGCAATGCAACATATAGCAATCACTATCAGTAGAAAAAAATTTTTTTTCTGAATAAATCACAACAACTGAGTTCAAAAAAGATTGCCGCGAGATGACGACTGTGTAGGACCGTGAATAACTTAAACATCTACAGTGTACCTGAGTGTACAGGTTAGGGACGGACCTTTAGAAAACTTATGAGGTGGGGGGCGAGCGAAGTACAAAAAAAATATTCGCGCAAAAAATTAAACGAAAAAAAATTCATGCATGCCAATTAACCCTAAGAACTATTCATGCTATGGCCTAAAAAAAATTCGTACAAGGAATTTGGTAACGAAAAAAAATTCCTGCGCCTCGAATTTTCCTCTCCCCCCCCCCCAACACACCCCCCCCCCCCCCTTCTCCTCTCCTCCCCCCCCCTCTCCTCTTCCTCCCCTTTTTTATCACCACTCTATTCCGCCTTACACTAAATATACCCACTTCCCGTACAAATCAATCATATATATACCTAATCCAATCTTATATACGCTTACATTACATAAAAAAAT